TCCATCACAAATGAAACTCAGTTTAGCTGGATAGAGGATCATGGGTTGAAAGTTGTTTTGTTTTGGGTGATTGAAAGTTGATAACCATCTTCTTCTGGCTTGAAACATTTCAGCTGAGAGATCTGCAGTCATTATGATACTTCTCCCTTTGTAGGTGATGCTTTTCATACATCTGGCTGCTTGCAGAATTTTGTTCTTTGTCTTATCTTTGGCAAAGTTAATCACAATGTGTTTAGGAGATGCTTTATTTGGTGAGTCTTGCAGGGGTTCTGAAACTGTCTGCTATCTGAAGTTTTGTATCTCTTGCAATATTGGGAAATTCTCCTCCAAAATCTCTTGGAGTAGAGCATCTGTACATTTAGGACCATCCTCTTCTCCTTTGGGAATTCCTATAAAACAAATGTTTGATCTATTGGGGTGATTCCACAACTCTCTCAGGGAATGATCAGTTTTTGCTCCCCATTCCCCATTCCCCAGGAATGTTGAAAAGATTTGTCTTGGGTGGCACCTGTGCCTCAAAGGAGTAGGGCACTGGCCCCACATACTGGAGGGTTCAAACCCAGCCCTGGCCAAAAAAAAAAAAAGCTTCATCTTCAGTTTCAGAGATCCTTTCTTCTGCCTGGTCAACTCTATTACTGAGGGATTCTACTGTATTTTGGAGTTTCTCAACTAACTTTTTCATTTCCTTGAGCTCTGCTATCTCTTTTCTCATTATGTCCATATCTTTGGTGACTTGGGGGCTTGAATTTATTAATTTCTTGAGATAACTTTAGAACTACTCTTTGGAATTCAATTTCTATTTTTTCTTCCATTCTGTTTATCTTATTTGTAATCCACATTCTGAATTTGACTTCTGACTTTGCTACCATTTGTCTGTGCATGGCATTTTCAGTTGTATCTCCTTTGTCATTTCTTAGGGGGGGAGGGTCGATCTACTCTGGTTATTCATGTTGCCAGAGTTCTGTTGGGTCTGCACCATGTTTATTTTCCACTGTTTGGTTATTAGAACTGGTAGGGTGAGATTGATTGGGGGTTCCCAGGTAGTAGAGACAGCTCCTTACCAACGTACTAGGCTTTGTAATTGTGGCTTATCTCCTACAACCTTACAAAGGCCCCTTTCAGAGTTTTAGCCAGAGACTCTGAGGACCTACTTGGTGAGATAGTGCAAGCTATCTCTGTTTTAATATTAGCCAACCTCTACCCTACCCTAAGAAGCCACAGTATTAGGTTAAAATCTTGACTGTGAAGAGATACAAACAGCTACCGTGCCCACCCCCCACCCTTCAGTTCTTTTCCACTATAGAATTTCGAATGTCAACTTCAGAATGTCCCTAAGTGGACAGCCCCAGACACGGGTTCCAATTAAATTATCTCAGGCAGTGCAAACCCTGCTCAACAGAGGGGCTTAAGGGTCTCCAACAGCACAATTGGAGCCAGGGATCCACACTCACACCTTCCAGACTCAGTCCACACTGTTGTCTGCTTCTCTGCTTACAGGCCCAGTTGGAGCCATGGGCCACACCCCTGCCCACCAGTCTCAGTCTACACCCAGCTAGTCTCTGCTTGCCAGACCAGTTAGAGTTAGGGGACCACGCCCCCACCTGCCAGTCTCAGTCTATGCCCAGCAGGGGCTGGAGACTAGCCCTTTCTGCCAAACTCAGTCCACATGTGGCAACCACTCTTCCACTGTGGGTGCCATCAGAGCTGTGGATTTTGCACCCTGTCCTGCCAGACAGCCCAAACTGAGGGTCAACACAACCACTAGCCAGACATAGTCATAACCAGGGGACTGCTCTGCCTCCTGTTCAGTGTCCCTTTCTTCCCACACCCTCTCTTTTCCCTGTTAGTCACAGATTCCATCCTGATGCTTGGCAGTCCACACTATACCCAGATCTCTCAGGACAAGACCAAATACTCTGTGCTCTGCAGGGGGCAGAACTTCAGACTGCCATGCAAGGGGGAAGGGTGGACTGGAAGTTTAGACTTGTGGGAAAAAATATCTGTTCAATTTTATGCCTGGTGGGGTAATGTCTATGTTCAGAAGTGGGACTTCCCTGGAGAAAGAGACTTGGAGTTTATTGGCTCTCTCCAGTGAGATAAAATGAGAGGTCTTTTGTTCCCTGCTGGTTCATAATAGCCTGTGGCAGGCCTCCTGCTTGAGGGAGGGGTCTCCCGTCCTCTAGTCAATAGGCTATGTACCTGAAATTTGTTTTCTTGAGTATTCTTCCTTGGAGTTACAGCTTACGGAACTTCTTTCTTGGCTCAGCTCCCCACCTTTGGCTTCATAGAGTCTGATTACATCCAATTTTTCTTCTCTGCTCAGGAGCCTCCACAGAGGATTGCTACCAGTCGGCCATCTTCCCAGAATTCTGAACTTTAATTTTAATTAAAGCTTAATTAAATTAAAGTTTTAATTTTAGAATAGTTTTATTTACAAAATCACATTGAGATACTATAACTTACCCAAATATTTACCTATTTTAAGGACATTTAAAGTTATTTCTAATTAATTGCTATTTTGAATAATACTGAGATGTATATCTTTAGCATTTAACTTTTTTTTTTTCAGACAGAGTCTCACTTTGTTGCCCTTGGTAGAGTGCTGTGGTGTCATAGCTCACAGCAACCTCAAACTCTCAGGCTCAAGCAATCCTTTTGTTTCAGCTTCCCAAGTAGCTGGGACTATAGGCGCCAAACACAACATCTGGCTATTTTTTAGAGATGGGGTCTTGTTCTTGCTTAGGCTGGTCTTCAACTCCTGAGCTTAAGCAATCCACCCACCTCAGCCTTCCCAAGTGCTAGGATTGTAGGCTTGAGCCACCATGTCTGGCTATACATTTAACTTCTATATTATTTTGTGATTTTTCTTAGAACAAATTTTGGGGAATGAGATAAATATATTGTATTTATCTAAGATTTATCTCAACTCTTTCTGAGATAAGTTTTGATGTTTCCTTAGTTATACATAATGTGAAATTTGCTTCTTATTCTGTACATGCCTTTCTTAATACAATTTGATATGCATCTATTAAACATTTACTGAGTTCTTATTTATAATTAGAGATGCTGTGGGGAAAACCATGAATACAGTTCAAGGGGCTTACAATCTAGTTGGGGGATAAGAACGATGCTACAAGACATTATGGATATCTTTGAATCCTAAACTGAGAAATGGGACATTTGTTCTATAGGAAACAGGGCAATATCTAAAAATTTATTTGGGGCCAAGATACAGTCCCAGGCATACCTTAGAACACTTTGGTAGAACAGATTAGAAGAAGAGACTTGAAAGGAAACTCATGAAAATGTTATTAGCAGTCAAAAGAAATGAGATAGTGGCTTATGGAGCAGAGAAATGGGAATGATCAACTTAGGATTCCTCCACTGAATAAGTCTTCAATAAAAATGGGAGGGCAACAATCCTAAATGTGGACGAAGCCACAAAACACTCTCTTATATTCTTTCCTTGTATGTGAACTATTTTCGTTTTCTTTCTGTGAGATTGTTACTAATATTCTGAAATTTCACTAGCAATGTATTTGGCACAATTTATTTTTTTTTTAATTTTATCAGCCAGTCTTTCTAGTATGAGTTGTATTTGACTCATTTTTGACTTCTGCATACTATCTCCACGTTTCGGCTGTAGCTATGGTAGAAAGTGCCCTGGTTTCCTGGCCACATCTCACCTCAGGTGTCTATTGCAGCTCTCAGATTTTTTATTTTAGGAAAATAGTTTATTCAGCTTGCCTAGGGCATCCAGAAGTTTTAGGAGTTAAACCCCAAAAAGCTACCTTTGGAGTCAATGGATATAGATTCCAGGTTTCTTTCCTTATAGAGAAAAACTGTATGCATGGTCCCCAATAGGAATGAGCCTCACTTGTTCAATAATAAGCCATTTTCTCCCTATATAGTTTAATTCAGGTCTTCACTTATGCTTTCTAGGATCACTTGCACACAGGTGTTGATCTCAGGCGCTGTCTTGTGGGAGATGCAAACTATAAGATTCATATTATACATGTATTTTTCTCTACATGCATAGGCTTTACTGGATATTATTTTTATAAATACTCTTTCTTTACATTCTCATTGTTCTCTTCTTCAAAAGCTCCTGTTAAAGAGAAATTATTCCTTTTAAGTTTTACCCTTTCTATTGATTATTTTTCTAATATTTTTTTTCTAGCTATCTTTTCTCAAACATTTCTGGAAGAATTTCTCACTTTAATTTTCCAACTTAAAAGGAAAAAGAAATTATTCTTTTTAAGCTTTACCTTTTCTATTGATTATTTTTCTAATATTTTTTTTTCTAGCTATCTTTTCTCAAACTTTTCTGGAAGAATTTCTCACCTCAATTTTCTAACTCACTAATTTTCACTTTACCAGTAGCTCATAAGAATTTTAATTTAAAAATGAGCTTTGAATACCTAATGTAAGGTCTGACATAATATAATTTGTATTGTTAATGTTATTTGAAAAATAATCATTTGTCAAAAAGAAAAATTATGTGATTAAATTTATTTTTTTGTCAAAAAAAGAACTCTTTGTTCACATATTTATAACTTCAACTTAGATAGCTACAATTTATGGTGAATGGCTACATATTTTCCCAGACATTCTCTTCATGTGGGTAGGTTGGGCTTCCTCACACTATGGTGGTCTCACAGTAGTTGGATTTCTTACATGGCTGCTGGCTTCTACCAGAATGAGCTTTCTAAGAGACCTAGGCAGAAGCTACAAGGGTATTCATGAATTAGTCTTGGAAATAATTTAGTGTCATTTCAACTGCATGTTGTTGGCATCAACAAGTAATAAAGATGACTCAGATTTGAGGGGAAACGACTACATGAGCACTATGCTAGAAGATGTAAAGGGCTATGTGTGCATATGCATGTGACTTTTAGTACTTGGCATTTCTTTCAGAAAATTTTTTCAAATGTTTATTGAACTTTTGTAAATCATGAAAAGAATTCTCACATTGCTATGCATTTTTTTTTTAATTGCAGGAAAATCCTGAAGAAGGAAGGGCCAGTATTTACAAATCAGTGATCATCAATACTTCTAAGGAGATGATGTGCTTCAGTGACTATCCCATCCCAGATCATTACCCTAACTTCATGCACAACTCCCAGGTCCTGGAGTATTTCAGGATGTATGCCAAAGAATTTGACCTTCTAAAATATATTCAATTTAAGGTAGAGAATTTTGAGGGTATCTTTGTGTTTGAAGTTGTTTTTCAAGTAAATGAGTAATGTGGTTTCATTTACCAATGTTTATTTATGAAGATTGGCTTGATATGTGCATGTGTCTATTTACTCCATCCTTTCTCCTTTCTCTATCTGAAAAATAGTAATACAAAGTTCTCTTACATAATTTGGCTGCAGTTACAGGAAGCCGCCCACCAGAATGTTTTAATTACGTTCATGTTACACTATTTTACTACAATCAAACAAATGAGGGGAAATGCTTCCCCAGCTATAGAAGGGAGCTGGCAGGTATGAGGACCTGAGTTTACAACTTTTGCACTACTGCCCCTTTATACTTTCTGCATTACTTTTCAGTTCATTATTTTTTTGTAATCACCACAACAACCCAGTGAAGTAGTTATTGGAAAGTTGCTGAGGAAGCAAAGACATTAAGGGAAGAACACTGAATTGGGGAACAAAAACCTGAATTTAGGTCCTTGATCTACTACTAATTAACTTGTGATGTTAGTTAAGTTCCTGAACTTGAATTTGTCTTAACTTCCTTATTTATAAGACAGAATAATTGCACTAGATCACTTCAGTGGTTCACTTCCTCCTGTAAAGTCTTCATGATTTTTCTATAACTTCTAACTGTGACCATAAAAGAACAGATATTTCTGAAAGCTGGCAAAGGGCCCAAACTATGTGCCTTCTGATTGTTCTGCTAAGTCATGCTTTTCTCTGTTAAATAATCGTAACATTGGAATATCCAGTGACAACTTCCGAAATCAGTCATTTACAGCCTGGTGGGGTTTCTCTTTACATGTTTAAATAACATTGATTGAACAAGTTTGTTATGATACTTTACACAGGGAGGACTGCAAAGGCAAAAATAAATGAATAAATAAATCAGTAACTTTACAGTTTAGCTAAGGAGACAGAAAAATAAAGAGAAATCTTATAAATGTAATTAATAAACATAAAGAATGACTGGCTGGCAAATGCTATAGAGATTTATACATTTCAATGCAGAAGGGAAATGTTGAACCATCAGGTCATGAGGCATTAGGTTCCAGGGAAGTTTTTCTTAAAGGATATATTGTCCCAGCTGTGTCTTAAAGGGTGAATAGGATCCTGACAAATGAAGAAGGAATAAAAGGGTGATTAAGACAGAAGCCCCAGCCTATGTGGAAGAGTGTGAACGAGCAGTATAAGTAGTGCTGGCAAGGGCACAGCTGGAAACTCTATGAGCCCACCAGGACAGTATGGCCGTAAACCCTAGGAGCACACAGTGTTTCCCAGGGCTGAGGAAAGTAACTCATATTTTTAATTTTTTTAACTAAAACTAAAAATTATACTACTGACTGTCCCAACTCACAGCCTCTTTCTTTATAGTTACTTGTAAAATGGGCATTTATGGGAGCCAAAGAGGGATTTGTTTATATAAAGTGAGACCCACTGAGATGTTTTCCACTCCACCTGGAAAAGGAGCCCTTATAGCTCAGTCACATGTTTCAGGCTAGTCAGTGTGAACAGCATTTGGGTAAGAGCCTGTCAAGGGGTCTTGGATTTCTGAGGGTCAGGAGACCCACTGGCACCTTATGTAACTCCTTATGTAACAGTAGAAACCCAGGCATTATTCAGGTTTCGCAGTGCCTCGGGGCATGGACCAGGAGACCTAGTGACTGCACTTTTCTAGAAGCAGAGGAAAGTACATTAGTCTGCCAACCCTATTTTATTTATTCTTCTTTGTGGAAGTTTTCTCACTCTGACTACAGCCCAAAACAAAACAGTCCTTATTTGTGGAGTATGACGATCAGATATCCCTGTATGGGCTCTATTATGTGGTAGTGCCTGTAATATCAGCCCTTTGTGTGACATTCTGCAAGGAGAGTCATGTCCCTGGAAATGTCTATGTGTAGGCTGTGGCTACAGCCCTCTGTGGTTTTCACTTCTTTTCTCAGACCACTGTGTGCAGTGTAAAGAAGCGGCCTGATTTTTCTACTTCAGGCAAATGGGAGGTGGTCACTGAGTCTGAAGGGAAAAAGAAGATGGATGTCTTTGATGGAGTCATGGTTTGCACTGGCCATCACACCAATGCTCACTTACCCTTAGAAAGCTTCCCTGGTGAGTAACCTACAAGGAAGGAAGACCCTTGACCTAATGCCTGTGACCTGACCACTGAGGAATGAGAGGACTGTGGTCTGAGTGATTCTTACTTTGGGATGAAAGGAAGATTACCCTAATTCTGCATGTTCTTCTGAAAAATATTGGGGTAACTTATCTTATTGCCACTGGGGGTACAGATAATAGTAATCTTGGAAATCAGAGGAAAATTTAAAGTCTACCTACTTAGTTATACAATGACTTTAGTTTCATTTAAGATCAAAAGAAAGAATGTAGAGTTCTTGAAAAGCATTAGGTTGAATGAGGAATTTTTTTAGCATTTGAGGAAACAAAAAAATATTAAGTTTCTAAGGAAGAAAGGAAAGCTTCAAGAATTTAATTTCATTTTTTGGCCTGGATTTGCATTTTCATTTCAGAAAAAAATGCACTCTTTATAAACTCTAGAGCAGTGTTTTTTCAATCTTTTTTGTCTCCTGGGACACTTGAACCTATAGTTAAACTTACACAACACACCTAAAATTATGTTGATCAAAAAAAAAAATCTACTAAGTGTAGAATATAAATGTCTTAACACAATAACTAAGAAAATGTGGTAAAGCCTATGTTAACCAGTTTGATGAAAATATTTCAAATTGTATATAAAACCAGCACATTGTACCCCATAATTGCATTAACGTACACAGCTATGATTTAATTAAAAAAAGAATATGAGTACAGTTCTTTGAACTTCTTTTGAAAATAATTTAATTAATGATCTTTAAAAAATTTTGTGGCACATCTAAGATATTCTCACAGCATATCAGTGTGCCATGGGCACACTGGTTGAAACCTCAGTGCTTTAGAGTATAAAAAATATATATATTCTAATTGAAATAGGAGTAAGTACTTAAAGGAATGAAAAGACAAAAGGGAATAATGGTTTTCTGAGGAAGTTTTGCCATGTGAGTCTACAGATCCAAAATACATACAGATCCCAAGATAAGCATACTACTTATGATAACAAAATCACCAAATCTTACTTCAAGGCTATGGAAAAATAAGCCAAAATATTCAGAAAGACAAGAAGTAGCTGAATAACGGAAGAATATGTGCTTGAACTTTAAATTCTACAAAAAGATTGAGTGATCTGACAAATGATACCCATCATGTGAACCAATACCCAATAAGTATTTTCCCTTCTCTTTCAGGAATTGAAAAGTTCAAAGGACAGTACTTTCACAGTCGAGACTATAAAAACCCAGAGGGATTCACTGGAAAGAGAGTCATCATCATTGGTATTGGGAATTCTGGAGGGGATCTGGCTGTGGAGATCAGCCACACAGCCAAGCAGGTTGGAATCAATAAATTCTTTTGCTTCACTCTTGCTTGCTCTCACCAAGGAAGTTGCAGGTGGACCTAGCAGAGAGCATAGACACCTGCACATAGGTAGGGTGACCAGATTTTAACATTTGTAAAGCAGGACAACATGGGGAGGGGTGGGGGCAGGGCAGGTGACAGGGCAGGGCAGAGCCTGACAATGCAAACTTTGATAAGCAGTTCTTGATAATCACTTCTCAACAATTATTTGTTATTATTACAGTTTAACATTATAAAATTAACAAAAATAATATAAGACTCATATTCTGGTGAAATAGCCACATGGTAGCCGAAAAACGTATATTCCTTTCCTGTTTTCCCACCCATTTGTAAATTCTTTCCAAGAATTGGGACTTTTTCAAAACGCCGCGGGATGCAGGACAATTTGTTAAAAAGCAGGACTGTCCCACCAAAAGCGGGACATCTGGTCACCCTACACATAGGCCATCAGTAATAGCAGCAGGTGTAGGGCTTGGTAACATGACTGACACGATGAGGAGTCAAGGTTACTAGTTAGAGTTCTGTTACTCAGTTGACCTCAGGCTATGGAATTAGATGATGACCACAGACTGTGCTGGTAATTCTAGTCAGCCACCTTCTGGTAGTGTGCTTCTGGCTTTGATTAAGACCAAGTAATTGGTGGGAGAACTTGTTAGAATGTAGTGTTTAGAGTGTGGATCTTCTATAAAGGAAAGCCTTTATAGGATGGTGATCCTTAAAAACTTTACTTATAGGATGTTGGATGGATTTTTCTTTTCATTCCTCAAATGGAAAGAAGCAGCAATCTAATCTTTCCAAAGAGAATATGGATACTAGCATAAAGAGTGTCCACAATATAGCACATACAAACAGCTCACCCCAGCCTTAGCATACAGTTATGTGACCAAGAATGACATTCATTCTAAAGTGATTTTTATCTCTTTGGTTTTCTGTTTTGTTTGTTTTGGGTTTTGTATCATAGATTTTAAACTGGGAAGAAAGCATCTTCACAATAAATTCCTGTCATTATTATGTTTTTGTTGTTTATGCCTTTAAATGTCTGGATGTTCTTCAGTAACTAATTAAGCTGTGTTTCTCTGCAAATATGCCTTAAATTATTATTGTTTCAAATAGAATCTTAATACTGCAACTCTACTAAATGACCCTTATTCAGCAACTTTATTCCAATAATACTTCATAGTACTATCTGGTATATAACCACAAAAGTGATTTCATATGTTTCTCCAGGAATTAATTCAACAAAAAATTTATCAGTAAATAATTACATAAAGAGAAAGGGAAAATACACACATTGATCTTATGTTACAAAAATGCACAAGGTATGTAGGATCCATGGTAAGAGCCTTCTTTAAAATATCATTGGCTTCAACTGGTCAGTTCTAAGGCAGCTAGGCCTTAGTTGCCGTGGGGAACTGTAGATTGCCAAAAAACAAAGCATTGTGAGTGGGTGGGGATAAGGTAGTTATGTACTGGAGAAAGCCTGGGAAAATGCACAGCAAAAGCATATGTCCATAGCAGGGGCACCACCATTGCACCACTACTGAGAAAGAAATTCAGTTTGGGGGTTGTAAGTTTTTGCTTACATATTAAATTGTATTAATGAGAAGTTGTTTATAAATCACAATTTTTAAATGGACCTATACATTTCAGTGTATCAAGGAAATTCTGGTATAATTTTTGTGGTATAATGTTTTTGTAAAGAGAAAACATCCTTTTCTTACAAGATTAACTGCATAAAGACTAAATTGATTAAATAATTTTCCTTATTTTTGTCTTATAAATCCAGTTTTTCTTATAATTATATTGTTTGCTTAAAACCAGGTATAGATGAAAAACTGTAATAAAAATTCTGACAGCCATTAAGCATTTATCAAGTGCAGTTAATTCTCACAGCCTTGGGATGTGTGTATTATTTTCACTATTTTATAAATAGGAAACCTTTCGACCTCGACCAAGGATCTGAGCATTTTCATTGCTCATCAAAAGTTAGATAGTCTGTACACAAAACCATTCCATAGGCATAGGAAGACCTCGTATGCTCTTTCAACTGTGACATGTAAAAGTACATAATTATCACAGTGCTTAAAGTCACTGAAAGTGAGAATCCATTTGTGAAGTAAAGGGTTATCCCTGCATAGACAGGTCTTTCTTTACATGAGACCTTAGGCAGAAGACCACGAAGCAATGTACTTACATATTTTACAAACCTGGAATCATCTGAGCTTTTATAATGTAGAAAGAGTGATACTTTTACCAAGTTATTGAATAATAAACCTTTATCACCTCTTTAATCAGAGAGGACACATAAACACCATCTAGCTTCGGGTTGTTCTACTAATAATTTTAATTTTTTTTCCCCGTTAATCAATAAAACATTTCTTAAGCACAGGATTTGAAGCCAGTCAGACCTGGGTTGTCAGTTCAGTTCTGTCACTTACTAGTTGTATGATCCCAGGCCAGTTATTTATCTTTTCCATACCTATCACCCATAGAATGGGATAAGGATACCATCCTCAAGATATTGTGGTGATGATTAGATGAAGATATAGACAAAGGACCCAGCTTAGTGACTTACAGAACAAATCTCAACAAATGGAAGTGATGATAATGTGTTGGGGAGACTAAAAGATGTATACACTATTCTGCCTTCCACCCACTCTTCATATATTTGAAGAGACAGAAATTAAGAATGTAGAAAGTTTAAAATTAGTATAAATGATAACTATCAGAGGTTTTGGTAACAATGAAAACAATGTCAATGGCAAAAAGGACGGAGGGTTTCATAGTAATAATCTCCAGTTGCTTTCAGGTTTATCAGTCCATGATTTTTAATGGGTTCTCTCCATTCTCTAAACTAGAGAAGTTTTCTAAACTTTTCTCTAGTTTAGAAAAGAGAGAGGAAATGGTCAACCTGAATGAGTAGTGGGGTCTACAAGGAGGAGGCAGAATTCATCTGAATTTTAAAAATGAATAAGCTCTGGGGAAGTAAGAGGAGAGAGGACTTTTCAGGTAGGCAGCATAAAATATACTTTTGGAAAGTGAATATACCTATTTGATTTTAAGTTTTGTGTTTGGGAATGAAAATGGCAGGAAACAAACAAAAAACACTGTGCAGAGATTAAAAAGCGAGACTTTATGAGTTTGAAGTCAATCTTGTAGAAAATGAGGGTACATCTGAAGGCTTATGAGACAAAGTGACAAAAGCAAACAATTTCTCCCATGCCCCAGGTTTTCCTCAGCACCAGGAGAGGGGCTTGGATCCTGAATCGTGTAGGGGACCGTGGATATCCTTTTGATGTGATATTCAATTCTCGCCTCAAATATTTTATGTCAAAGATGTGTGGTCAATCACTTGTAAACACATATTTGGAAAGAAAGATGAACCAAAGATTTGACCACGAAATGTTTGGCCTGAAGCCTAAACACAGGTAAGTTCCCAGATGGGAGTGGAGTGGTAATGATCCAGGCATAAGAAAAAGGACTGTTCACAGAGGCTCATCATAGAGCTACCTCTATCCAGACATTAAGAAAACCCACAGAATCTGAGATCAGCTTTCTGCCTTGTTCCCCCACAAAAGCCCCAGATATATTGGTCTGTAGGTGGTCAATGTATAATTCTCATCGGCATTGCCATTTTCTCATTCCCCAGGTATTGATCCTCTTGACGTTATGCCCAACAACAACACAATAGTTGTGAGAGCAGCACATCATTCATTCATTCCTCCAAAAACACTGAGTACCTGTTAAGATTCGTGAAATACAGAGAGAAAAGACATAAACTAATACAAATAATACTTTTCTGAAGATTATCTATAAGAAATAAATGAGTTACATCCATTATCTCACTTAAACGTCCCAACGGCCCTATTGATTGATACTATTTTTACCCCCATTTTACCGATATAAAAATTGAGACTTAAAGAAACTAAGTAATTTGCCCAAGGGCAATACAATTAATAAATGACAGACTCAAGAAATGGCTCTTACTTTAAATACTCTAATGAGAAGACAACAGTGTATAATAAATCAATGAATAGGGTGCTATGAGCGTATAAAGGATGGGTTCCTCAAAGATCCAGGCGTGGAAAACATTTCTAAAGGCTGATTTTAAATTCTTTTTTCCCTTCAACTTTTTATTTTTAGGAATTTTCAGATCTACAGAAAAGTTATAAAATAGTAAGCACAATGAACCCTTCACCTGGATTCACCTACTGTTAACATTATCCTTCACCCATTATTAACATTTGCTATATTTGCTTTCTCTCTCCCCCCCCCAAAAGATGGATAGATCCACATATGTATAAGAGACTATATCCATAAGTACATATTTTCTTCTGAACCAACAGAAGAAAATTGCGATTAAGAGTAAATTGAGGTCATTAAGACACTTTACCTTAAATACTTCAACATATATTGTCAGAGAAAAAAGGGTACTTTTCTACATAACCATAATACGATTACCACACTTGGGAGATTTAGCATTGGTAAAATATAGTATATAGTATCTAGTATACCGGCATATTCAAATTTCCCTAATTATACCAATAATATTTTTATAGGCTTTTGGGTTTTTTTTTTTAAATCCAGGGTGTTGTCAGGTATCAGTTACACCATTGCACTTAGTTGTTATGTCTCTTTAATCAAAAATAATTCTCCACTCTTTTTATTTTCTTTCTTTTTTTTTTTTTTTTGACATGGGCTTTTTCTTTTTAAGAATCCAAGGCATTGTTTTATAGAGTCTCTAAATTTGGGCTTTCATAGCTATTTTTCCTTTATTGTATTCATTTTAAATATTTTTGGCACATATCCTGCATACATGATGTTGATCTTTTTGGCAGATTACATCAGGAGCCACATGTTATCAATTTATTTCCTAGTAATGATGCTAAATGTGATCACTTGGATATGGTGGCATCTGCCAAGTTTTTCTAGTAGAAAGAGTTTTTATTCTTCTTAAGTTAATCAGCAGGGTAATATTTAGAGAATGTGTTTCCCAAAAACCTTCCACCTATTTTAGCTTATACATCTTAGGTGGCTTTATGGAATAACAGGAGATAGTCAGATGAGTAGGGAAGGGGAATAGCATTCTAAATGCAAAGTCTTGAGATAGCGAAAAATATATACTGTGCTTTGGGATCTGTGCTTAGTCTGATGTGGCTGGATTACATGGCAAAGGTAGAAAAGGGAGTGAATCTCTGGGCTCGTCGCATGAAAATGTTTGTATGCTCTGCTAAATTAAAAACCTAAAATGAAGACAGTCTCAAAGCCATTCAAAGATGTTAAGCAAAGTGAGGGACATAATACTGAATACATTTTAGAGTGACCATTCTGAAAATGGCATGGAAGAGGGATGGGCCAGGAGGCTCTAAAGATGACTGTAATTGTCCAGGTAAAATAGGAAGTAGAAAAAACTATGATGGGGGATCTCAGGGGGAAAGGATAAAGGCTTACTGACCAGAAGCTTCGACTCACAGTTTTGTGGCTCAGGGAAATGTGTGGATGGTGGTACTGTTAAAGAAAAGGACTAAGTTTGGAAAGAAATGTGAAATCATGAGGTTAGAGAGCAGAACAGAATCTACCCAAAGGTTAAAGTCAAAGCATAACTAAATGTAACATATCAGTAATAGTTGTTTAAATGTGTAATATTCCTAAGGCTAGGCCAACTTTGTCTGAAGATGATGGGTTGAGGAATCTGAGTTAATTTAGAGTTGAGGAATTAAGATCTCTTTTTAAAAAGATCCAAAATACTGGAAACCTGCATTATTAAACACTATGTAACAAGCCCAAAGCATCCCAAGGGAATTCATTGAAAACTACTTTGGTATAAATTCTAAAATCCTGGTTTTTGTAACATTGGGCAATCACTTAACTTTTCTAGGCCCCAGTTTCCTCATTTATGAAACCTGGATAATCATAGCTGTCTTGCCCCCTTCACAAGTTAATGCATACAAAAAATAACTTATAAGTTGTAAATTGCTATATACACATACATGTAATTTATTACACAGTTTGGAAACTGATGTTCTAAATCTAGCTCTTGGGCATTTGAAACTAGAAAGACTAAACACATTGTCCATAGTTTAGTTCTTCCAGACTTATTAATATGTGGATAGAAACCAGTGGCCTGTGGCTTCATCATTATCACAGAACATTATTGTTACTTGATGAACCATACATGCAATTAGACTCTTGACTCCTCAATAAGACTCAATAGAGTCCTCAATAGACTCCTAAAATAAAACTCTTCTCCATCACTTCTCCAACATCCTCCCTTTCATTGCCACCCGGGATTCAACTTCAGCTCTGAGATCTTGATCTGGACCAAGCTGGAATAAATTAAACCTTTCCCAAATGTCATGGATAGATGCAAGGGGAGACCATTGACACGTTGTTTACCTGCACCAAAGCAGAGCTTTACTTACATGACACTCATTTCTCTCCCTCCGTCCATCCTTCCCTTTCCCTCTTTCTTTCTCCTTTTCTTGGTTGTTATCACTTACAGAGCTCTGAGTCAACATCCGACAGTAAATGACGACCTGCCAAATCGTATAATTTCTGGATTGGTGAAGGTGAAAGGAAACGTGAAAAAATTCACAGAGACAGGTGCCATATTTGAGGATGGCTCCCACGAGGATGACATTGATGCTGTTATCTTTGCCACAGGCTATAGCTTTGCCTTTCCTTTTCTTGAAGATTCTGTCAAAGTGGTCAAGAATAAGATCTCCCTCTATAAAAAGGTCTTCCCCCCTAACCTGGAAAGGCCAACTCTTGCAATTATAGGCTTGATTCAGCCCTTAGGAGCCATTATGCCCATTTCGGAGCTCCAAGGACGCTGGGCCACTCAAGTATTTAAAGGTAAGTGACTACACAAATTGACTACTTTATTAGTTGATGATAAATTTAATTCTGTTTATGTGATTATTTTTAAATACCTAGCGACTGTATGTATGATTATTATATGTAATAATAGTTCTCAGCATGAAGTTAGTTCTGGAAAATTTACTTTTGAATTAACTTAAACTAGTATTTATAAGCATGGACGTATATCAGAATCACTTGGGAAATTTTTCCAAATTAGGCACGTTTTGACCCCACCCCTTTAAGCCTAGGATGGGACAGGCTTGAGATCTTTAAGAAAAATATTCCCCAGTGATTCCAGTCTGCCCTCCAGATTAGAATTCATTCATCTAGGCTTTAGACAACTCCACATATACATATTTGCAAAGTAAAAGAAATTTATCTACTTTCATTATAGAGAGAGTCAAATATGGAAATGTATCTACTTTCATTATAGATAGTCAAATATAGAAATTATCTCTCCTCTTTCACTTTTGGCCAGGAGTATATGCAAACAAACTTTGACATCTGGGATTGTAGTCTCAATATGAGTCAACAGAATGATATGGCTCCATAATTAAATCTTCCATCATTAAAACATTATAATGTTCCTAGACTATTATAATTGTTCTTATCCAAAGTGGTCAAACTATACACAAAGACATATTTTTGAGATGAAGCTCAAGCACATTAGGTAGGGAGAGAGAGAATAATGGATTAGGGGATTTGAAAACATGTCATCTGGAGTATAATGAGGGAGCTGGAGAGGTTTTCCTAGAAAAGACAAGATTCAGGAGAGGTAGGAAGGGATGACCCATGAAAGAAGGGTTAGATTTACTCAGGAAAGTGAAGTCCTGACAGCTGCACAATATCAGTTGAACATTAAGAAAAAACCCAAAAGTTTCTTCCTATCAGTCAGTGCCATTTCAAGATGGAATGGGCTGCCTCTGAAATTGTGAGGAATCTAAGCAGAATAGGAAAAGGATGCCAGTGACCGGATAGCCATTTGGCCAGTGAGGTATGGAGTAGATTCAAGCCTCAGAATAAGGAGAAACCAGATCACCTTTAAGGTTTCTTCTGGAAAAGAAATTTATTGATTATAATAAATTGTTATAATAAAATTTTGCTATCATTACTAATATTTCATTTAAATTATTCAGGGTTCCTGTTGGAATTACAGCCTTCTCTTTCCTAGTGAAGATCTTTATGGTAGCAGAGAAAAAAAAGAAACAATAACATTAGAGTTGATAGATCAAAAACATTTCTGAATTTCCCCAAATTTCTATCATTTCTCAACTCCTTCCATACTATCCAGTAGCTTGGTGGATGACATGTACTACTTGAGAGCACTAGACAAGCAATCTAATGCAAACAATCCATTAGATTGATTTAATTCTAGTCATATTAAATGGATCTTTTAATTGGATCGATTAAGTAAGAGGAGAAAGGTCAACTAAAACAGGCCACAGCATCTTACTAGACTTCAAGTGACTGGGACTCTTTTTCAGGACCAAGTAAACTATTGAGAGGAAAAGGGAGACAAACAAACAGACTTGAGTATTTGGAAGAGGCTATGGGATTAGGGGACTTTAGGGGAAATATACAAAAAGCCCAGTTTCCTGTGCAAGCACAAGCCTAGCGCAGATTCCTCCAGCTTTCTTCTAATATCTGCAAGGAAGAAATCTTCAGAAGAATTCCCATAACTTTACCAAACTTCTAATAGGAACCCTGAATGTATTCTATTACGGCTCACATGTCTACCTACCAAATCACTGCCTTTCTCATTTCTGTATTCTGCCTTTACCGTGACAGTTCTAAACCCTTATGAACAGCTGGTTTCTCCCATTCTTTCACGTCTGTCCAACAAACCCTACCCCTGTCCCTACTCTGCCCCTCCCCTACAGAGCCCCTTTTACCCAATTTTCCTTCTTACTCTGTTCTATGGAATTACTGTTCTCTTGTCAAGAAAATATTCCACCCTTTTCTAGAACACTGGGCTCACTTCTTGCTTTGACTGAAATCAAGTTTCTTTTTCCTATGCCTCCTTTGCAGCCCTCACCAGTGTTCTGTGTTCATCTGGCAACTTTCTTTCCTTGAAAACTGTTATCAGGTTATGACAGTTCTCTGGATCACAAGAAGGAATTATGTCAGGACATGGCACCCCCTGTGTGTTACTCCACAAACTGGGTACAACCTGCAATTTCAGGTCCCTCTTTCACTAGTCTTCCCTGTGCATCCTACGGTCTTCTAGACACACTGGATAATGTGAGCAGCAATGGGCAATAAGTCCCCAGTTCTCCCTACGAGTACAAAAAGTTTCTAAAAGGACAGGAAGTCCTGATGGGGGAGGGGAAGAATCACTAATATTTATGCAAAATTAAGGAGAAATGACAGAAAAAAATCAAGCACTGGGACCTATAAGTAGTTCAGAATGCTTGAAAATAAAGTGCTATAGGAATGAAGGAAAGTGAAGCTGGAGACAATCATAGAGGCGAGGTTAAGAAAATCCTTGGGTGCCATGCAAAAGGTCTGCATTTACTGCTGGCAGTAGAGAACCACTGAAGGATTTTACCTGGGAGAAGTGTTAAATCAGATTTGTAATTTAGAAGCTGTACTAGAGGGAGTAGCATGGGAAGTGGGTCAGTTAAGAATCTGTGGTAAAAGTCTAAGTAACAACAATCTAAAGGAATAGAAGGAGACAAACCTGAATGAGATTATACCGGTGAATTTGAAGGATTCGGTGAGGGTGAGAAAGAGAAAGATGTCTGTTCAGGAGCTCCAGACATTAATTAATTAATTAATTATTATTTTTTGAGACAGAGCCTCAAGCTGTCCCCCTGGGTAGAGTGCTGTGGCATCACAGCTCACAGCAACCTCCAACTCCTGGGCTCAAGCAAGTCTCCTACCTCCGCCTCCCAGGTAGCTGAGACCACAGGCACCGGCCATAATACTTGGCTTTTTTTTTTTTTTTTTGGTTGCAGCCATCATTGTTGTTTGGTGGGCCTCGGCTGGATTTGAACCCGCCGCCTTGGGTGTATGTAGCTGGTGCCTTAACCACTTGAGCCACAGACGCCAAGCACAGATATTAATTTAGATTGGGGATATATGCAGGGGAGCAAGATATCAAAGACAGATGAGAACTCTGGTAAAAAAAAAAAAAAAAAAAAAAGAAAAGAAAAAGTGGGGCGGTGCCTGTGGCTCAAGGAGTAGGGCACCAGCCCCATATACCAGAGGTAGTGGGTTTGGACCCGGACCCGGCCAAAAAAACTGCAAAAAGACAAAAGTGTCTAAATAAGGAAATGCTGCAAAAACAGAATTTATAAATTAAGAGAGAACTGCACTACAGGGCATTATATACCTCTCTCTCTCTTTCTCTTTCTCCCCATCCCCATCTATAGGGTTTGTTGTTATTTTCTTTTTGTAAATGAATTGGCGGCCTCTTGAAACCAAGAAACAGATGTCTTCCCCAATAACGTTCCTAACTAATAGAAGTAAAACTTATGGTTGTGCCATGAGAAGTAATTTGGAAGTCAACCCTCAAAATGTGATTCTTGAACATCCAGGAGACCTGTGATTAATCTCAGATGAAGGATTTCAGGGTTTCCTCATTGATTAATGAAAATAAGTAACAATGCCCACAGCTAAAATGAGAAAACACATGATAAAACACAGCAGGCTAGTTTGGAGTCTTGCATTTCCTGAGTCCCATGTTCTAAGAAGGGGCACACCAGGGTATTTAGCAGAGTGTGCTGTGCCCAGGGAAGGGCAGCCAAGATGCCAGAGAAGGGGAAACCAGTTCTATGGGGAATTGGTGCCATTTAGCCTGATAATGGGAAGGATGAAGGAAGAATTATGACAGTTGTATTCAAAAGCTTCAAAGGCTGTCATGTGTTCATGACTCTGGGGCTCCAGAAGACAGAGCCAGGTCCAATGGTGTGGGTTGCATAGTGGCCTGTTTTGGGGCTAACACAAGGAAGAATGTTCCAGCAGCCAGAGCACCCAAATGATTAAATCATCTCCTCAGAAGGTAATACATCCCTAACATCAGATGTTTAAGGAGAAATGAAATACTCCTTGATTAGAGTCTTTGTAGAGAGAAGGCTTGCATTAGGTGAGATGTATTCACTTTCTGAAATTTTATATTCTAGAATTTTATGAAGTAACACCTTAGGATTCATTGTGGCTATACTTTTCTACATGGCAGAGTGCCTAGGTATCTGGGCATAAAACTGCTTAAGCCTGTTTTTATTGACTTAAATATTATTTTACCTCTATCTAACCCTGTCCTTGGTATAAAATTCCTACATCTGGAACTGTTTGTGTACTGGTGCTTAAATTTATCTGTCAAGATTGGGTATCTTGAGTTACCCTTGGCTTTACCTGCCCCATTCTTCCCAAATAAAAAAGTTTAGAAGTGAGGCTTATCTTCTCTAGGATCATAGGCATAAAATATGATTGGGAGCTTATTTTTTACTTCCTTCTCTCTCTGTGATATAAAGCCCCTTTGTTGTCGAGAGCACAGGTGTGAGTGTGTTTCCCCACTCTCCAGCCCTTTCACTTTGTACCTCCTTGTCCACATACTTTTAAGGCCATTTATCATTTTCTCATGTCCCTCTTCCATTTCCTAATTGAACGACTATGTTAGGAGGAGGAAGGTGTTGGTTGGAAGGCAGAGTAGGAGAAATGGCTTCCAAAGACAAAGTAGAAAAAGTAAGCCACCTGATGTTCCTACCATTGTGTTGAGGAGGTGGTAGAATAAGGCGGTCAAGTGGATCACAGCCCACTTGAGTACAGAAAACCATCCTGTATTTTTTTGAATTTTCTTTAAGATAGTAATTGTTAATAGAATTATTGTTCCTACCGAGGTAATTTTTATACTTAAAATTTTGATTTTTTCCTTAGGGCTAAAGACATTGCCCTCACAAAGTGAAATGATGGCAGAAATATCTAAGGCTCAAGAGGAAATAGAGAAAAGGTAAGAAATTCTCTTGGGAAGATGCATACCTACTTTTTCTACTTATTTCCTTTTTCTTTTCTTTTCTTTTTTTTTTTTTTTTTGAGACAGAGTCTCATTCTGTCACCGTCAGTAGAGTGGCGACCTCAACTCTTGGGCTTAAGTGATTCTCTTGCCTCAGCTTTCCAAGTAGCTGGGACTATAGGTGCCACAACACCTAGTTTTTTCTATTTTTGGTGGAGAAGGAGGTTTTGCTTTTGCTCAGCCTGAACTCAGGTAATCCGCCCACCTCGGCCTCCCAGAGCGTTATGATTACAGGCATGAACCACCGCACCCAGCCTCTACTCATTTCTTAGAGGAATATTGCACTACACTTATTAATAGCTTCCTTATGTTAGTTTAAGGATTTAGATTATACTTTAAATTTTTGAATAATAGTTTGTGATAGAATGGAAAAATAGCATCAGTAGTTTGAATATGAATGGGAAAGGAGAGAAAAGCTTTTAAAAAGTGTTTAAAATCCTATGTTTAGGCCCTAAAAGGAAATGAGTAGGCAGAGCACCTGGAGAGCAAATCAGGCATATTATTTTTACAAGGATTACCTGAAGTGCTAGCCGAGCTGCCAGAGGAAGAAAGAGTAACAATGGATCCAGGAGAGGCAGACGTGGTCATATCACAAATTTATAGGAAGATTCACAATCCACAGTGGCCACTTTGTTGGCTGTTATGTGGTGTCATGTGACAGCACACTCAGGTCACAGGGCACATGGTGTGAATAATACCTGATTTGAGAAGATAGTAAATCTGCCAGCAGCTTAGTGCTTTGGTGAACACAGTGGCTTAGCGGCCTGAATTTCAGAACATGAGCCCAGTCACTGGATGTTTTTTATTTGGACAAAGTGGAAGTTGACATAAGTTCCTAAATCTCTGTAGAAAAGCTGTAGGCATAATCACTTCAGGCCTCAAAAGGTGGCTTTCTTCAATTGATTATACTAGCATAATTCTCCCCTACCTGGGAAGAGGAGAAAGGACGTTTTCTTTAACCCTAGTACCCTTTGCAGGTACTTTCCTACTTCCTTTCGCTGCCAGTCTTCTGTAGCAAATTTTCTACATTCTATGCTCTATAAATTCTCACTTTCTACTCTCTCCTAAGCCTCCTGCATTGTAACTTCCATTGTTACTCTGCAACTGCTCTCTTGTAGGTAATCTATGACTAACTCCGTTTTCCTCCCCATACTTGTCTTCCACTGCTGAGTCTGGCGCTTTTAAACATTTCTGCCTTCTTAGAGTGCTTTCTTTTCTTTTCTCTGCTGGCACTAAACAATCTATTTCAACTTAACTCCTCTCTTTGTTTTGACTTATTTTTTTCTACCCACCTTTGGACTGTGCGTGGTCCCCAGAGATATGATTTAACCTTCATTGTGGGGCAACTATGTGTACATATTGTTTTATATGCATGAGCTTAATCCTCATAATAACCCTACAAGGCAGGAACTAGTGAATCTCTTGTGAAACCTTCATCAGTACTATAGGTCTTGACCTACTGCTAGGATAAATAAATGCATGCCTAGGAACCCTCGGACCAACATAACCTCCATAAGGGAAGCTCTCAAACTCTTTCCTGTCTTCCTGTCTCTTCTAAATCTGGTCCCATTTCAACAAATTCCTACTTGAACATCAGTCGGCTCCTCTGGATCTCACTGGTTCTGCCTTAAATTGATTTTCTATCATTTTCCCTTATACTTGCTCTTAGATTCCTCAATCTCAGTTAGCCTGACCTGGATTTTTTTCTTACTTCCTTTCTGTCCTACTGTTCTTTATTTTCATTATAGAAAGTAACCCCTCTCCCCTCCACATATATATCACTGTTAATCACATTTCTCCCCTAAAAAGTCCTTTTACTTCTTCAAAGCTGAACTTGATCCATCTCATCTGGCTCCATTTGTAGGGTCACTTCCTCTAGTAAGGATGTCATCCTCCCTCCTCCTTTCAGGATTCCAAGTTAATATTTGCCCTGGGAAGTCCTGTTCTGTGGTTCTCACCATTACTTCCCTCACAAAATAATTGAGGATCCCAAATAATTGGGACTTCTTTGTGGTAGGCTGTCTCCTTCTCACGACATCAGAGCCTTTTGTATCTGGAGCAGCTATACTTATCCCTTATCTAGTCTGTGTTTCCACATCCTTTATGAACTTAACCATGTTAGCTCTCTCTTTACTATCCCCTCTCTACATTTCTATTTAGCAGTCTAAAACCACATGATGTACTGAGAGGCTTATATTCTCCTCCACTTCATATATTTCTGTTTCATCTCCTTTAGGAGAGTATAAGATCCTTAAGGACAGTGACAAATATCATACTTCCCTGTTTCCCACAGCTCTTGAGCCAGTAGCAGGCATTCAGAAAGTGCTGATTAAATGGTTGATCGATTGATTGAGTTGTTCACAGGCCATGGCTTCTGTCTGCTCTACTTCAGGTATGTGGAGAGCCAACGCCACACCATTCAGGGAGATTACGTAGATACCATGGAAGAGCTTGCTGATTTGGTGGGGGTCAGGCCCAATCTGCTGTCTCTGGCCTTCACTGACCCCAAGTTGGCGCTACACTTATTACTGGGACCCTGTACTCCAATTCAGTATCGTCTCCAGGGTCCTGGAAAGTGGGATGGGGCTCGAAAAGCTCTCCTCACCACAGAGGATCGTATCAGGAAGCCTATGATGACAAGAGCCGTTGAAAAGAGTAATTCTACCATGTCAGCAATGACAATGGGCAAGTTTATGCTGGCTGTTGTTTTCTTTGCTGTAATCATGGCTTATTTTTAGCTGTCCCATTGTCATTGCCCCAGTTTCTCTTTGGGAAGCATGGCCTAGAGGTGCCTTCAGAGTCTAACAGGGTTGGATGACTCTCAGCTTCATATTACTCAGAAATCTACTTTTATGTTTATCTCTTCTAAAAGCATTGATCCACTTTCCTCTTTTTCCTACAGTCAAATCCCAGTTTGTCATTTATATTGATTCATCACCCTTCCTTTCATGTTCTATCACTTTTCCTTTGAATAATCCCTAGACTGTGAGCACTGTTTTAGTCATCTTTGTATGTCTTTAGAAGAGTTCTTGACATGTGGCAGTGCTTAATAAATGTTTGTTGTTGTTTATCAAATACTGTTGTGGAGAACGTAAGTCTGCATCTATATAAGAAATAACTTACTCCATGAAAGTCTTCTTTTGATGATGGGATTTCGTTTTCTTATCAAATCTCAATCTTTTTGTTTTTAATATTATAACCAAATGTATGTTTCCTAAGAGACAAGAGAAATAGTGATCCTACAATAGTTGATAAAACAAACAGATACTTAAGATATTTTGTTTCATTTGCTAGTCACTAATATACTTGATACCTGGTCATTTTTACTCCTTTTCTCTAAGAAACATGTTCTCATTTTCTCAATAAAGAAACTACCTTCAACTTTCTAGGTTTATAAGTCATTTGAATAATCCAGCATCTACCACCAGGTTCAGTTTGCTTGAGAAGTTTAATAAATTAGCTATCCTATCTTTTTTGAAAACTCAGTTCCCATAATAAGATCCAACAGGACTTTAACTTAGGAAATATGTTAAGTCATTGCCAACTGTTACAGTGTCTTCTACAAATGCAATTTGAGTCATCTTCCTCCACTCTAGCTTTCTCCCCTTCCCCCTCCCTTCAAATACTTATTAAGTATTTGAAGAGGTCACTTGTGTACTAAATGAAGAATTAATGTTAACTAAATGTAGGAGCACTCTGCTTATACCAGCTTTTCTTTTCTTTTTTTTTTTTTTTGAGACGGAGCCTCAAGCTATCCCCCTGGGTAGAGTGCCATGGCATCACACTCACAGCAACCTCCAACTTCTGGGCTCAAGCGAGTCTCCTGCCTCAGGCTCCCAAGTAGCTGGGACTACAGGCGCCCGTCACAACGCCTGGCTATTTTTTGGTTGCAGCCATCATTGTTGTTTGGTGGGCCCGGGCTGGGGATTCAAACCCGCCACCTTAGGGGTATGTGGCTGGCGCCTTAGCCGCTTGAGCCACAGGCGCCGCGCCTATACCAGCTTTTCTTACATCACACAGTGTAGTTCTGAAAAGACAGAGCAACTGGAATAGTGAGCAGGGACTTGGGTTTACATCCCAGTGCTGCTGCTGATTCTGTTTTCTCTTCTGAACAGTTTTCTCTATTTGTGTTTCATGGAGAAATTAACTAAGCATCAGCTGTCTGGCACACGAACAAAGGTATGAAATGCCATGGTATGAAGAAAGGTATGAAAGTGCCAGGCAGCTATGTGTTCAGTAGGTGTTGTACAGTATGCTTGTAAGTTTCTGGATTTCTGCCTATTACTTAACACTAGGATAATTCTGAACAACTGAAAGAAAAACATTAGAAATTATTATCCCTCCTAATACAAATACATATAAGGGAACTAGAAATTTGGACAATTTCCTGCCATTTTGTCTACTTAACTGTAGAATGCCTTTTGAGAATTAGAGAATTGAGATTTGGTATTTCTTCTGAGGTCTTTTTCCTTCCCTATCCTGTTATACTGGGAATTTATCATCTATTAAAATAGACCTAGTATTTTTTAATTTGAAGATTACCCTAGCTGAAAAGTAAATTGAAGATCTCTTGCTTCTTTTTAATTTCTTTGTTTAAACATATAAAATTGCCTTTTTCAGTATGTAAATTTGTTGAATTAACAGTCCTTTGATAATATAATTCCTCATTATCAGTAGTAAGTATCCTAGTTTCCACTTTAAATAAAAAATATGTATTATAAACATGTTGACACCCTCATTCTACATAACATGTAAGGTTACAAAAAAGCCATTGGTTAATTTCTAAACCAAACTAAAAGTAAGATGTGTATAGGAAACTGAACTCAGAACAACTCAAGATACAAAGTCCTCATTACCTAGGAATGTCTACTAATTTACCCTATCTTGTTCTTGTAATTTTATTAAAATACTATATCATTTTCCTAATTATATCAAATATGATTACAAAAAAAATGTGTTCTTGTAGTTCCAAAGAGTAAGGAAGTGCTCAAAAGGCAAACTGAAAGGCGTATGTCAAAGGGACACAGGAGTCATCTCAAAGTCACCTCAATGGCCAAAGCTGAAATGATTTGAGCAATAATATAAATAATCTAGTGTTAGATTGTAACAAAAAATATAAAAAATACCCACAAGTCTATACTGATATAAAGGGTTGAATGAATTAATAAATGGGGTGGAATAGACAAATCTACCATACAGAAGAATTCCATCTACCCAAGGAGATGGAACATAATCCCCTACTTCTTAGTTACAGGCTAATAGAGTGACTTCCTTTCAAAGAATACAGTATGGAAAAGGGGAAAAATATTTTACAGTATAGAAATATGATAAACACTACCTTAGGTAGGTGATCAAGGCTAACATCAACAGTGTCATGTTGACAGTACGTTCCCTGGATATGATGTGATGAGAAAGTCGCTTTACCTTTATGGTACTCCTCTTGAAGACCATAACCCAATCTAGCCGGGAGAAAAACAGACAAGCCCAAACTGAAGAATACTCTACAAAATACCTGCCTATCTCAAAACTGTCAAGGTCATCAAAAAGGAGGGAAGTCTGAGAAAGTTTAATAGTACCGAAGAGCCTAAAGAGACATGACGTCACAGTGTACTAGACAGGGTGTCCTGGTGTCCCAAAGGTCTCTATATTTCCTTATAAATACATAGGGAAAATCAGAAATTATAGCCAATGTACCGTTATTTAAAAAATGTTCCTTACAAAATTGTACCAAATATTTAAAACATTTTTCTACCTGTTGATATATAAATATTAAAAAATACAATATTGATTTTCCTATGTATGGTGAATTTTGAAACACCCTATAGTATCCCAGACAGGATCCTGCCATAAAAAAAGGACTTTAAATAAAAATTAGGGGATTATTAAAGTGCAGGGAAAACACTTGAAGAAATCAGCCTGGGCAAAAATTTTATGAGGAGGACCCCCCGGGCAATTGAAGCAACATCAAAAATACACTATTGGGACCTGATCAAACTAAAAAGCTTCTGCACAGCCAAGAACACAGTAAGTAAAGCAAGTAGACAGCCCTCAAAATGGGAGAAGATTTTTGCAGGTTATGTTTCTGACAGGGGTTTGATAGCCAGAATGCATAGAGAACTCAAACATATTAGCAAGAAAAGAACAAGTGAGCCCATCTCAGGCTGGGCAAGGGACTTGAAAAGAAATTTCTCTGGAGAGGATAGGCGCATGGCCTACAGATATATGAAAAACTGCTCACCATCCTTAATCATCAGAGAAATGCAAATCAAAACTACTTTGAGATATCACCTAACTCCAATAAGATTAGCCATATCACAAAATCCCAAAACCAGAGATGCTGGCATGGATGTGGAGAAAAGGGAACACTTCTACACTGCTAGTGGGAATGCAAACTAATACGTTCCTTTTAGAAAGACGTCTGTAGAACACTTAGAGAACTAAAAATAGACCTGCCATTTGGTCCTGCAATTCCTTTATTAGGTATATATCCAAAAGACCAAAAATCACATTACAACAAAGATATTTCTATCAGAATATTTGTTGCAGCCCAATTCATAATTTCTAGGTCATGGAAGAAGCCCAAGTGCCATCGACCCCAAATGGATCAATAAATTGTGGTATATGTACACCATGGAATACTATGCAGCCCTAAATAAAGATAGAGACTTTACCTCCTTCATGTTTACATGGATGGAGCTGGAAAATGTTCTTCTTAGCAAAATATCTCAAGATTGGAAGAAAAAGTATCCAATGTACACAGCCCTATTATGAAACTAATTTATAGCTTTCACAGGAATGTTATAACCTAATTATAGCCTAAGAATATGGTGAGGGGGAGGGAAGGAGAGGAGGTGGATGGGTGGAGGGAGGGTGATTGGAGGGATCACCTTTATGATTTATCTTACAAGGGTACAAGTGAATCTTTCTAAAAGTAGAATATAGGTGTCTTGACATAACAACTAAGAAAATGACATGAAGGCTATGTTAACCAGTTTGATGAAAATATCTCAAATTGTACATCAAAACACCATACTGTACCCCATGATTGCATTTGGCACACAGCTATGATTTTTTTAAAAAATTAAGGGGTTATTAATAAAGTATACATCTTGGTTAATAATAATCTATCATTATTGGTTTATGAGCTATGCCAAATGTACCACAGTAATGTAAAATGTTAACAATAAAGGAAATTGGGTGTGGGGTATACAAGAGTTCTGTATTATCTACTTTTCTTACATCTAAGCCTATCCTAAAATAATAAATGAAAAAAAAAAGAAGAAGAAGAAATCTGGAGTTTTTTGGTTCAGGATTTGACCCAGAACTATAATTTAGAGGAATTTTCTCAGCGGAGGAAGAATAATATTGGGTAGTACCAATCATTTAAATCACTATGTTATTTCCATGATTTCTATACAAATTAAGTTGTCCCGATAGAGCATAATATAACTTAACATAGCAATTTTGCTTCCCTTGCTGAATCAGTACAAACTTTATTTGTAGAGGCAGGAAATGGTGATATAAGGTGAAAAGATACAACCGCTCAAAATCACTTAGTTCTTTCTTGTAGCTGACTGCATTATGCCACTAGGCCCTATTAGCAAAATTTTTGGTCTCTTAAAGACAAGCACATTCATAAATAAGGTAATTTTACTTAACACTGGGTCTGTGCCCTGTTACTTCTGTTAATGCTAATATAGTACATAAACATCCTCCAGACTGCCTGCTCGCAAAGTCCCCGAGTGTCATGTTGTCCCTGGTTTCTGTACACATTTTGGTGCAGGCCTCTCTTCTTGATAAAATTCTCCACTTGCCCAGCTGGCTAACAACTATATCATCATCAAGATTCAGTTCATCTCTGCTTTCTGCCAGGAATTTCTGGTCCCCGATATGAAATAGGTGACCTTCCTTTGTGAATACCTTATACCTGGTGCATTTCTCATTATTTCTGATGAACATCCTTGTTACACTATACATAGTATAACAAAATTAGTTCCTCCACCTCTTTCCTTCTTGGAGGAAGATACTTTGTAATTCACCTATGTGTTCTTAGTGCCTAATGTAGTACCTGGAACATAGTAAGACCTCAGTAAATTAAGAATGAATTGAATGAATAAATTCTACATGAGAGGTAAAACTATGATTTTTTTAAAGGATTAAATCAAATACTGAATAATATTTTTATAAAAAGTGATTAAGGCGATCCAAAGGTGCTTAACATTTTGAAATGTCCATGAGGGGTAAGCCTGTTTTTCAAAAAAATACTCTGGGTCACTGATCTGAGTAAGCGTACTATCTCTAATGCTCTATTGTAGTTTGAAACACAAGCAGTATGTTCTGTTTGTAACTAATTTCCTCAATCAAGCACAAAGGACTTGAAA